AAGTGTTGCTTCCTCTTCTATGCTCTGAAATAGCTTGAGTAGTACTGGTACAAGCTCTTCTGTAAATGTTTTGTAGAATTCTCCAGTGAAGCTATTGGCCCTTCTTTTTTGATATGTGCTTTTATTGCTATGAATTCTTGTCTAAGAACTGCTTTTGCTGTGTCCCACAGGTTTTGGTATGTTGTGTTTTCATTCTCATTTGATTCTAGAAATTTTTATTTCATTTTTAATTTCTTCTGTTGCCCAGTGGTTTTTTAGCAAGGTGTTATTCAGTTTCCATGTATTTAATTTTTTTCCCCTGTTCTTCCCATTACTGATTTCTAGCTTTACAGCGTTGTGGTCAGAGAAGGTGCTTTGTATTATTTTGATGTTTTTTTAATTTATTGAGGCTTGCTTTGTGGCCTAAAATATGGTCTATTCTGGAGAGTGATCTATAATATGGTCTATTCTGGAGAATGATCTATGTACATTGGAGAAGAATATATACTGCGGTGCTGTTGGGTGGAATGTTCTGTATATGTCTATGACGTCAAGTTGGTTAATTGTGTTATTTAGGTCTTCTGTATCTTTGTTTAGTTTCTTTCTATTTGTTCTATCTTTGACCGAAAGTGGTGTGTTAAAGTCTTCTACTATTATTGTGGAACTGTCAATTTCTCTTTTCAATTCTGTTAGAGTTTGTTTTGTGTATTTTGAAGCTCTGCCATTGGATATGTAGATATTTATTATGGTTATGTCTTCTTGGTAGATTGTCCTTTTAGTCATTATATGATGCCCCTCCTTGTCTCTTATAATGGATTTTGATTTAAAGTCTATTTTATTGAGATTAATATTGTCATTCCTGCTCTTTTTTGGTTGCTGTTTGCATGATATATTTTTTTTCTATCCTTTGATTTTTGACCCATTTATGTCTTTAGGTCTAAGATATGTTTATTACAGGCAATATATTGATAAATCATTTTTTTTTAATCCATTCTGCCACTTTCTCTCTCAACTAGTGCATTTAAACCATTTACATTCACTGTGATTATTAATAGATATGAATTTACTGCTGTCATTTTGTTATGCTTTTTGTTGTGGTGTGCCATTGTCTTTGTTCTGCTTAATTTTCTGTGCTGAGTTCTTTTTGTTTATGTATTTTCATTTCCTTCATTGTTGTTGATTTTGTGTTTACTGGGTCTTTATGATTTTCTTCTTTATTTTGGTGTGTAGGCTTATTAACTTTCTTTGTGGTTGCTCTGATGTTTACCTTTATCTTGCTAAGTTTAAAACAGTCTATCGTTTTTTGATATCGCCATGACTTCCTCTCCATATGAAAGTCCTATGTCCCAGTTATTCCACCTTTTTTGTTTTGAAGTTGTCATTGCTTACAGATTGACATCTGGTTCCGTTTTCGGTTCTGTAGCTTTATCTTACTTTTGAGATTTTTCTACCTGGGCTGGCATCTTGGTGATGCCGTCGTGTGGCTTACTGTCAGGTTGTTGTCTGATGTCATTTGTTCTCTATCCAAAGGGCTCCCTTTAATATTTCTTGTAAGGATGGTCTGGCTTTTACAAATTCCCTTAATTTCTGTTTATCTGAGAATGTCCTAATTTCATCATGATATTTGAGAGACAGTTTTTCTGGGTATATGATTCTTGGTTGGCAATTATTTTCTTTCAGGGTTTTATTTATATCATCCCATTGCCTTCTTGTCTGCATGGTTTCTGCTGAGAAATCAGAGCTTAGTCTTATTGGAGTCCCTTTGTAGGTGATATTTTGCTTTTCTCGAGCTGCTCCCAGAATTCTCTCTTTATCTTTGGACTTGGAAAGTTTTATTATGATATGTCTTGGTAACTTTCTTCTGAGTTCTATCCTGTATGGGGCTGATCGAGCTTTTTGGATGGAAATCTTCTCATCTTTCACAATACTGGGGAAGTTATCTCCCAGCAGATCTTCAAAAATTCTCTCTGTGCTTTTTCTATTGTCTCCTCCTGCTCTGGGATTCTGATCACATGTAAATTATTCATAGTGTCTTCATAGTGTCCCACGTAACTCTTAGGGTTTCTTCTCTTTTTTTCATTCTTTTTCCTGATTGTTCCTCAAGCAAATTGGTATCAAGGGATTTGTCCTCTATTTTGCTAATTCTTTCTTCGATTGTTTCAATTATACTTCTGTGTCCTTTGATTGAGTTATCTATCTATGATATTTTATTGTTAATCTTCTGGATTTCCAGTTGCTGTTTTTGTATAATTTCTAATTGTCTACTTAATATGTAATTTTGTTCTTGTGTTATTTTCCTGAATTCTTCTAAGGTTTTGTCTGTGTTTTCCTTGATCCCTTTGAGGACCCTATATATAAGTCCTTTGAATTCCTTATCAGGCAGTGCCATTACCATTTCAACCTCAGGAAGGTTTTCTGCCCCTTTATTTTGGTTACTTGGTTGAGCCAGCTTCTCTTATTTCTTTATATAATTTGATATTGTTTGCTGTCTTTGAGGCATTAAGGTGTTATTTTATTTATTTATGATTTTGTTTTGTTTTGTTTTGATATATCAGAGCAGGTGCTCCCTCCGGCAGGGAGAAGGGCAGGGTGGGTGGCCAGGGATCACACAAGCACTCTGTCTGACAGGGGAGGGGTGAGATGGGGGGCTGAAGGCTGTGCAGGCACTCTCTGTAACAGGGCAGGGCAGGGTGGCAGCCGGGGAGTGGAGGGGGTTTGTGCAGGTGCTCTCCCAACTAGGGGAGGGGTGGGTGGACTGCCAAGAGGCACACGCAGGTGGTCTCTCTGGTGAGAGAGGGACAGGGCAAGCATCTGGGAGGTGCACAGGCATTATCTCCAGTCGGGGAGGGGCTGGGCAGGTGGCTGGGGAGGGAGGGACAGAAAAAAAAAGAAATAGGATGGGGGGCTCGTCTGTTGCTCCATGTTCACCACTTGCCCTACCGTTCAGGTACCACTGCTGGAGAGTAACCCTGTCTCTGGGTCCCGATTTCCTCCCTGCTCTGTGTATGTCGGGATCCCTGAAGTTCTCGTCCTCTTTCCTGTACTTTCCCTCTTTAGCTCCAGTTCATGTCCTACTCACCTTTCTTCACTCTGAGTATGTCTTTGCAGTTTCTGTGCCTCCTATTGGGAGTTCTGTGTTGTCTTCCTATGCTTCTCAACCAGGGTCAGTGCTGGCTTTGTCTCAAAATGGCCCTTCTATGCCAGACTGGCTGGCAGGGCACCTCTGCTCCATATCTCTGCCCGTTTGCTGCTGTTGTTCATTTTCTTTTTCCAGTCAGTGTTTGATCTAATTCTGTATCCTTTCATTTGATGCTCAGGGTTCCATGTTTGTCATCTGTATCTGTTACACTTTGTTTCTTGGGTCTTTGCTTTAGAGGGATGGTGTGGTGCGTCTGACTAGGCCACCATCTTGAATGTGGGCCAAAAGATCTATTCTTATCTTTATGGAGTTCTCACTCTCTTTTGGGAGAAAAACAACCAGAGAATACTTCCAGATTGATAACTGCTGAGGTAAAAGGTACTGTGGCAGAAAATGGAGATGTTCTAACTTAGACTAGGGGAAACGGTAGATGTAGTAAGAAAAGCATTTTTAGATGACTCCTGAGTTTAAGAGTAAACAGGCTCTAACCAAGAAAAGAAGGGCAGGGAAGCTCTTCTGGCTGAGAAAAGAACGGAGAAGAATGAAAGGGAAGTTTATTATAGATGAGAGAGGTAGGCCAGAGCAAGATCACAGGGGCTCTTGAATATTATACTAAGAAGTTTGGCTCTTATCCTAAAGGCATAGGGGAACTTTTAAAGGAATGAGGAACGACATATCCAGATTTGCATTTTAGGAAGATCATGCAAGGTGAAGAATGGACTGGAGAAGGACATCACTGGAGGCAGGTAGATCAGTTAAGAGATGATTAGAGTAATCCAAGCAAGAAATGACAAAGGCCTGATGGCATTCGGCTGTTGTTTTGACATGGAGTGGAGGGGGAACAAGGAACAGCCTAGATGACTCCTGGGTTTTTGGCATGGGTGGCCAGATGTAAAAAGGTGCCATTGCCAACACAGGGAATACATAAAGACAGGAATTTTTAAATTTGTTACTGTTAAGGGACATCCAAGGGGAGACATCCACAAGATAGATCTATGGCCCATTGTGGTGTTCTTTCATCTCCCTTTTTGAGCACCAGGAGCATGCAACAGGTAGTGATTGTAGTCATGAGTGTGAACAAAGTCTCTTAGGGCATATGTAGAGTGAAAAGAAGACAAAGGGTGGACATGTGAGGCAACCCAACAATTAAAGGGCAGACAGAGGAAGAAGAGCCCTTTCAGGGGACTGAAGTGCAACCAGAGTGGAAGGACACTCACCAGGAAAGAGTGGGTGACAGAAACCGAAAGAAGAATGTTTAAAAAAAGAGGCCAAATGTTGCTGAAAGGTAAAATAAGATGACTGAACACTATTCATTGACTTTGGAAACTAGGAAATCACTGATTATTGGAGCAACTTCAGTAGTATGAATGGAGTAGAAACTAGATTTTGGTGGGTTGAAGGGTTAGCAAAAAATGCAGAGGTATGGGAGGGAGGGAGAGGATAGGTGGAAGATAATGTAGGGGTGCTGATTTCCTCTTCTTATGGAGTAGGGAGTCAAGAAATGCCTTATTAACACAGTTTATAAAGAAAATGTTCTACATTCTACCTTGGTGAGTAGCATCTGGGCTCTTAAAAGCCTGTGAGCAGCCATCTAACATACTCCACTGGTCTTACCCCTTTGGGAACAAGGGAGAATGAAGAAAACAAGATACAAGGGAAAGATTAATCCAAAGGACTAAAAGACCACAACTACCACGGCCTCCACCAGACTGAGTCCAGTACAACTAGATGGTGCCCGGCTACCACCACTGACTGCTCTGACAGGGATCACAACAGAGGGTCTCAGACAGAGCTCGAGAAAAATGTAGAACAAAATTCTAACTCACCAAAAAAAAGACCAGACTTACTGGCCTGACAGAGACTGGAGAAACCCTGAGAGTATGGCCCCTAGACACCCTTTTAGCTCAGTAATGAAGTCACTCCTGAGGTTCACCATTCAACCAAAGATTAGACAGCCCCATAAAACAAAATGAGACTAATGGGGCACAACAGCCCAGGGACAAGGACTAGAAGGCAGGAGGGGAAAGGAAGGCTGGTAACAGGGAACCCAAGGTTGAGAAGGGACAGTGTTGACATGTTGTGGGGTTGTTAACCATTGTCATAAAACAATATGCATACTACTGAATGAGAAACTATTTGTTCTGTAAACCTTCATCTAAAGTGCAATAAAAGGAAAAGAAATGCCCTCTGAAGTTGATACAGCAATAAGTAGAGAATCAACCACATGAATTATAATATAAACCAAGAGAATTAAAAATAATGTAATTATTTATTAACACTAGCAGAGGTAGAGAGGAGGTATAAATGATTTCAGTTCCCCATCTTTCATAGCAGGGAATCAGTAGATACTATGAGAAGTTGGTAAATAATGAACTGGAGACATGGGCATATTATTTAGAATTATGCCAAAAAGGAAAAAAAAAAAAAAATAGGGTTTAAAGGTAGTCACATTTGGAGTATGGAAATGGGGGTAGGATGGGCAGGAAACATTTACTTTTAATTTAATTCCATTTTTGCTGTTCTTTTCTCTACCCTGTGCAGATATTACTTGTATAATTTGAGAAAGATTAGGAAGTAAAGATGAGTGCAGTCTACTTGGGTTAAGAAAGGAAGGAAAGTGGAACTGACAACTATTACCATAGCTTCCCTGCCCTTCACAAAGGGGAATCTCTCACCAAAACAACCCAGTCCAAGCATGTGGACCTCAACACCAGGATTAAACAATCTGTCATTGCATTTGCCCCTTGATCACGGTCATGTTGCTCCACAGGTTCGGGGCGAGGGGGCTGGCACACTGGGCTCGTTATCACTGCCCCTCTCGGAGCTCCTCGTGGCTGACCAGCTCTGCTTGGATCGCTGGTTTACACTCAACAATGGTCAAGGGCAGGTGCTCCTGAGAGCACAGCTAGGGGTGAGTGCCAGGAGGTGGTGGGCAGGCAGAGGGAAGGCCTTCACAGCTGACGAGCCTCCCCAGGAGGGTAGGAACAGAGGGTGGTGTCCTTACAGCGCTCTGCCAACCTCACAGCTCTCTTGCCCACCTAGATCTTGGTGTCACAGCACTCGGGAGTGGAGGCTCATAGCCACAGCTACAGCCATAGCTCCTCATCTCTGAGTGAAGAGCCAGAGCTCTGGGGGGGTCTCCCACATGTCACCTCCTCAGCTCCAGAGCTCCGGCAGCGCCTAACACATGGTGACAGGTAAGGGGCTGAGGCAGAAGGATGGGATGTAGTCAGGAATGTGAAGTATGAGTTACAGCTTCCCTCGGCTCTGCCTTCTTCCAGATCTGTCTCCATCTCTCCACAGTCCCCTGGAAGCAACTGCAGGGCCTCTGGGCCAGGTAAAACTGACTGTATGGTACTACAGTGAGGAACGAAAGCTGGTCAGCATTGTCCACAGTTGCCGGTGAGACCTCGTCCCTCCTTTTGTCCAAGGGCCCCCCACCCCTTCCCTTGAATTGCCTTATCCACTTGCATTCTCTTGCTGCAGGGCCCTTCGACAAAATGGGCGGGACCCCCCTGATCCCTATGTATCACTGTTGCTACTGCCAGACAAGAACAAAGGCACCAAGAGGAAGACCTCACAGAAGAAGAGGACCGTAAATCCAGAATTCAGTGAACGGTCAGTGGGCACTGAGGTGGAGAGATGGTAGGTTTGGGGGGACCCCTTGCCCCTAACACCCAGCTCCTCCCCAGGTTTGAGTGGGAACTGCCCCTGGATGACGCCCTCAGGCGGAAGCTGGATGTCTCTGTGAAGTCCAGTTCCTCCTTCATGTCAAGAGAGCGTGAGCTGCTGGGGAAGGTGAGAGGGCTGGAGTGGGCAGGGAAGAGGTGAGAGTAAGAAGCTGTCGGTACCAAGCACCCCAGGTGGTATTCTAGAGGGGACCCTATCACCTCTCAGTGGCTTGGGACCAAGAATGTGTGATGATGGGACATGTTCTTCGGAGATATCAAAGTAACATCTTGCCTCTACCATCCTCCAATGCAGGTGCAGTTGGACCTAGCTGAGATAGACCTTTCCCAGGGTGCAGCCCAGTGGTGAGTGTCTGGATGGGGTGGGAAGGGTCTGGATATAAAGTGGGAGAAATTCCAGTCACAGGAAAAGAAAAAAGGATGCAATCCGAAGTGAGAACTGTTGATTCTATGAACTACAGAAGTCCTTGGCTGGTGTCTCCTTTCTAGGAGAGTATAAGAGCCATATTTCTACCTGAGCCTTCTCTTCGTGTTTCCACAGGTATGACCTCGTGGATGACAAGGACAAGGGCAGCTCTTAGGAGCTGGGATTACCAGCCTGACTCAGCAATGCCTCTTTACCTTGCCTCTTGCTGCATCACTTCCTCAAAGTGATGAGCCTAAAGCTAGGGCCGAAGGGCAGAGCGTGCATCGCATCAGCCCTCTCACCTCCCAGGCCCGTACTAGGGCCTTTGCTTGACCAAAGAGAAGGACCATATATTACCGTTTACTGCACAGCCTTTATTCTTCTGGGCTCTTGGGCAGGGACCTGAGCTGGCTATTTCCTGCTCTGCCTGTACCTTGTCCTTCTTTCCTGCCAACTCCCCAGGGCCTTCTGTACCTGTGCCTGGCCACTGGCAGCGCTAGCAGTGGCATCAGCTTATGCCAAATACAGCTTTTGAAAAGATGTTTTTCTTATTTAGCTGGAGGATCACCTTCTTCCCTACTGTGAGAAGGCAGGTAGGGTAAACGTGAGTGGTAGGGTGGGCAGGCCATGAGCTGCTTGGACTACTGCATGCGGTGAATGGAAAGCAACCTAGGCCCCGTATCATGTTCTAGCCCCACTCTCCTCAAGCCTGTCCCGAAAATGACAGCTGCCATGATGGCTGGGGCCGGTCTCTTGATTCATTTTGGGAATCAGGAACACCTGGATTCAGGAGCGCTCGGGACATCAGGGCCAATTTTTTGCTCAAGTGCCTAGGCTGTCAACTTACTGACTAGAACGGAATCTGATACTTTTAATTTTGCACCAACGCTGCCAATCCACTGTATCTTTCATTAAACATTATACTCAAACCAGCTGTGGCTCTTTTCCTTAAGGACAGGGAGTGCAACCTACCCATCAATCAACCCAAGGGTTTATTCCAACAGTCAGAAGCCTTTATTAAACTCAGTGGTAGTGAATCTTGTCAGTATAATTAGTGGCCAGATCCTACTGGGGTGTAGTCATCAAGCATGTAGGTTCCATGAGGATGGTTGAGGGACCTGCGTGAAGCAGCTGCTGTCGAGTTTCAGGTGAAAATCATTCCCAGTCACAGTGAAGCCTGTTACCCATCCAACTCACCTGCTGACCATATGGTCTCATAGGTTTTCTAGGGAAAGGATTCCTAGAACTGGCAAACCTGGAACTTGGTGCCACAGCACAAACTCACAGAGTGCCTTGATGCCATCAGGGTGTGCTCAGCCATGTCCACAAGGGCTTCAGGCCCACCCAGCAGGCAGCTCAATGAGAAATAGTTTATATCCATTCAGATCTGCTCCCCTTTAACTCTGCTCCTTTCAAGACCCTTCCTGGAATGCAAGCTATAGAAGCTGTGCTCCATCATTTCTACGCACCAAACAAAAAGGGAGCATCAGCTGTGAAAACAGGGTCACTGGTATAGGAAGTTGGAGGTTTATTTCATAGCTGCCCCATGTACCTTATTTGCATTATTAACAGGCTGTCCAATCCTCTTGGTGGGTCACAAGCACCTTATTTGCATAGTCCCACACCCTTCCACTCATTTTGTGGGAGTCACAAGACTATGGCTAGAAGGGCCATATTAAACCAATTCACTGCTTTATCATAAAAAAGAGAGGCTTTATCATCTTTTCTGGAAAAATACAAACCTTAGGATCCTGCCCATGGGAGGAGAGGGGAGGTTCAGGGGAAAGGACTACTAAGCACAGTCCCATGCAGAGCTGTCACAATTCACTTTATCAGCAAAAACAATTTAAACCCTGCACTTCCACTAATTTAGCTCCTATTTTTTCAATGACTCCTTTATACTCATTGCTGGCTGTCCTGCCATCGCCACTTCCTTCCCATCAACCAAAGAGAGTTCCCAGCCTTGGCCAAGATCAAGGTCTCAGTTGCCCCCCAGGATCTTGAGGGGAGGAAAACACAAAACAGAGGAACTTCATTTCTAAGGTCTCTTGTCTAATTATTAGACACTGGATGTGTACGCCAAGGCTTGCTGGTCCAGCTGGCTTCAAATAATATAACACAGGGACCTTGCAATGTGTGGTTTTAAGAGGCACTCTTGACCTAGTTCCTCACTTCAGGTAATTACATTTCCTGAAAACTAGAGTGCCTGGCACAAATTCTCCCATCCCAGAAGGATTCCTTCTCTTTCCCAACCTTTTCAAGTTCAGGATACATAAGGGAGGAAGTGTTGATCTATATATGGACTACAAGATGAAACACAATTCAGTTCCTGGTTGCACTTATATATATAAAAAAAGAAACAAGGGTCATTAATCACAGGAATGAAACAGATATACTCCTGCCATTTCTTAGAACAGCTGACCTTCACCACCAACACAGGATGTCTTCCTTTTCCAGAGAAAGGGAGGTACAACTGCAACTGCACATGGTACATTGTCACTTAGGTTCTCAAACACTACCCTATTGGAATGTGGCTTTGTTCCAACAATGTGCTGTAGTAAATCAAGTGTAACAACGCAGTTATCTACCCAACATCCATTTCCCCTCTTCCCTACTTTGTTGTGTGCCATCGAGTCGATTCCGAGTCATAGCAACCCTATAGAACAGAGTAGAATCCCCTGTAGGGTTTTCAAGGCTGTATATCTTTACAGAAGCAGACTGCCACATCTTTCTCCCGTGGAACGACTGGTAGGTTTGAACCACCAACCTTTTGGTTAGCAGCCGAACACTTAACCACTGCATCACCAGGGCGCCTTCTTCCCTACTTACAGAACTCCAGAGCATTCATGGTGGCAGTGTGTCAGCCCCAAGGGATTAATCATGATCCTCTTTGCTGGAAACTCACTGCCCCAGACTCCCTTGCAACTCAGGGTGGCTCTGTGACCCAGCTCTAATCAACAAGATGTAAGAAGAAGTCAGTTAGGGACTGAAGTGTCAAAAGAAAGCCCTCATACAAGCACTAGAAGAGAGACTCGATAACTGGAAGCTTCTAAAAATCAAACACTTATGCTCATCAAAAGACTTCACCAAAAGAGTCAAAAGACAACCTACAGACTGGGAAAAAAATTTTGGCTACGACAAAT